GGCATCCACATAGATACATCCACGGGTTGCATCCACTCACTAATCCTTCCTTTTCCAAGTTAGCTTCTGGTATTGGTTCCATGTACTGATCCATGGGCTGTGGCACATCAACTTTACTAAACAAAATAAAATAAAAATAAGGGAAAGAAGAAGAGAAATGGAAGAATCGATTCTTGTTGAATTACTCAAGTCTCTTTACGAGTGACTTTCTCCACATTATCAATCGTCTAGTAGTCTAATTATTAAAAATAATAAATATAAGTATATATTGAAACAAAATATAGTTTTGAGAGATTCAACAACTTTATATATTTTGTTAATCCTCTTAAAGACTAGTCAACATGAGCAATAACTCTAATGTGACTATACTCTTTCTTTTACATGAAATGGTCAAATGTACTGATGTAGAAAAACAAATTACCCATTTGGATACACCATATCTATATATTCCATTTTAAAAGATTGTTTAAAAACAAGTATAAAATCGCTGCTCTCTATCATCAAGACATCAACACGTAAGTATTATAAACCAAATGCTTTTGATTTCTAATTTGATTAATAAAAAGGATTCTGAGAGGACGAGGACTGCTTTTATGCTCATGGTTCTTGTTTTTGCAATGACATGGCCATATTCGAGTACTCAACCGACAGACCCTCAAGCGTGCTATAATCTGGTTAAGGGTACCTCAAGTGAATGTCGTGATCGTCTAAAGGCAATTTTGCATTTTCAATTCCATGGGATCAAGAAATATTGCTGTGAAACCATTTCTAAAGTTTCTGATTCATGTTGGCCAGTGATCTTCCCGAACCAGCCTTACGTTCGTTTTATCTTAAAGGGTATTTGCGTTTGGACGTAATCCTTACATAAATGCGTTTTAGTATTTTATTTGTCTGAGATTCTTAACATCTAGAATAAAAGAATATCTACTTTGATAACTTATTAATAATCATATTCTGGCTCATTTTATCATTTAAATAATTCTAAAATTTAAAATCTAATTCGTGTTATGTGTAGTTCAAATATTTAAAATTAAAATCATATCATCTTTCGATTTAATTAAGTGTTCACAAGTTAAGTATTTTATTCATAAGTTTATGAATGAAAGTTAAAAAAATTATTTTGAAGCATCAGATTTATTCAATGTTTATACATGTAAAGATAATTTTCAGTACGAAATATGAACGAACCAATGTGGTTGTCTCTTAATTTCCATGATGTCCTTTTCTGGAAAAAATTCCTCCTTTATGAGTGTAGCCACCTTTAAATTTAATAAAATTGTATATATTGAATGGGGAGATAAGTTCTTTTACTCCATCAAGTAATTATATCTATGTTATTTTTTCAGAAAAACTAAAACGGACTTTTATAGGAAATTTCTCTATTTAAAAATTTAATATTAGTAATTATATCTATATTATAAACTGACAATCTATTTTTTGACAAAAATAATGTGCAATATTTATTAAATCCCCAAAAAGGAGTCATATTGATTTTATATATTAATATGTGTATTAAAGTGTATTTACTCATACATGAATAATAGTATAATTCATGTACAAAATTATAAATATTTTTGTTAATTTAATTGTTTTATATTATAAAAATGGATTATTTATTATGTACCTGGATATTTTTTCTTACATTTACAAATTTGAAATGATATATAGGAGTTAATTACGCATATAGGACCTACGTGATCTATATATTTGGAAAATAATAAAGACAAGGTGGTTTATTGAGATGAGATTAAAGTATTAATAATGTTTTAGATTTATATGGCAATGTAGTTTTAATTATAGCAAAATATATGGCAAGATAATAAAGTACTAATACGTTTTGGATTTGTATGGCAAGATAACAGATATTATTAGTGTATGTGTTATATTTAAGTAGATTATCTTTAATTAAAAAGAGTGTATGTGTTATATTTAAGTAGATATTATTAGTGTATGTGTAGAGATACATTCTGCTGGAGTTACACTAGGAGTGGGTAATACACAGTCAAGTCCGGCTATTGGGTAGCTCGTAATGTACTGATGAAGGAGGAGGAGAATTTGGTAGATGAACCTAGCTTTAAAAGGCTTCAAGCACAAGTTTGGAAAGTTAAGGCACCCCCGAAGATGTGCCATCTTATGTGGCAGATCATTTCGGGACAGGTGGCGGTTACGAGCGTTTTGAATCATAGACATATGAGATGCGATAACTTCTGCCCACGGTGCGGAGAACCGGATGAAACAATTGCACATGCAATTTTCCAGTGCCCACCGGCTTTACAGGTATGGGCCTTATCATCTATACCTTCCAGCTCGGCTTTGTTTCCCTTGGAAAGCACCTATGCGAATATGGATTATCTATTCTGGCGGAAGAAAGCCATCTGTGGGCCAGATCTAGACAAGGATCCTTATCCTTGGCTAATATGGTACATCTGGAAGGCTCGGAATGACAAGTTGTTTAGAGGAATAGATAGAGACCCGTTGGAGTTGGCCCGGTATGCAGAGAGCGAGTGTCTTGCCTGGTTCCAAGCCAATGAGCAGGGGGTTGAGGATACACAAGAAGATGGTAATACAGACCCGCAGGCCATAAGCCTATGTGATATTTGCATGATAGATGGTTCTTGGACCTCTGTAGATCAATTCTCCGGCTGTGGTTGGGACTGGAAGGATAGCATGGGTGACAGCCAGTTAATGGGGATGCGTAATGTGAGTAGAATGGAGTCGGCGTTGCATTCGGAGCTGGAAGCGCTGCGGTGGGTAATGGAGAACATGCTTCAACATTCGCCATGTCAGAGCTTTAGGACGGATTGCAAGGAATTGATAGCAATGCTCAAAGATCCCCATGGATGGCCAAGCTTTTCAACGGAACTGGAGAGGATCTCGATTTCGAGGATTTGCTTCCCAGATTTTAAGATCTCTTATGTACCTCGATCTTTAAATGTTGTGTCTGATCACCTAGCTAAGACTGCCCGATCCTTTTATCGGGAACTCATGTTTATTGGTTGTTCTATTCCGGTCTGGATTTCCAGACCACCTCAAGCTTGAGTAATAGATCAGCCGTTCGTTGTCAAACAAAAAAAAGAGTGTATTAAAGTGTTTTTACTCACTTTAGTGATTTTTCATGACGTGGCAATCATACAGACACTCTTAAAAATAATTTTATAATCTTACTAGGAGTTAACCCGGGCTACGCCCGGGATTTAAATATAATTATAATTTAGATTTAAAGAGGTATATATCATATCAGGGTTGATTAATAAAATATAATTATTAGGTCAATTTTGAATTTTTTTTATTTATTCATTGTGTTCTCAAAACTTACTATATATTAAATTTTCAATATTGGAAATTAATGGAGAGTAAGCAATGTGAAAATAAATGTAATTAAATTTTGTTTATGCTTTAAATACTTGTATCTTATTTATTTATATTTCATATAAACAATTGATAAAATATTTAACTCATTTAAAATTTAGTTTTATTTTTTGAATCATTGAGTTCCCATTTCTCTAACATCCGGCTCTAAAGGCAGTATAAAACGTAAAAACTGGCTCTTTACATAAGTTTACGGCTGACCAAAGAAACCAAATTTGTTTTAGTTAAATTGTTGCGTAGAAAAGGTTAAAAAGATTGCTTTGATCAAACTGCACATAATTAATAAAAATGAAATTGCTAAACATGTTTTTAAGATTTAAACCGAATGTCTCTAACGGGTTATTTTGAATTTGGTGATTGTTTCTGTTGACGTGTGTGTATGTTAGTAGACGTATTTATGTCAAAGAACCCAATGTCTACGTAGTGTTTAGTCTTATGAGGATTTTAATAATCCTTATGTAATGGCTGATCTTACTGGATATACTAATTGTGAGTAGCACCACATAACAAATGAACGCAAAGTTGAGAGTCCAAATACAGGAATCCGAATAGAGCAGAGGACTTGCTAGAAGCACTTTAGTTGCACAATATCATAGAATTTTTGGCAGGTAGGCTTAACATAAAAACTTCAACACCACATTATTCAATTCTGAATCCCGCTTCCTTCTTAAGTTTCATAACTCCAAAATAACGAAAACCATAACAGTAAATAAGAAAGTTCCAGGAAAATATGATGGAGTTAAAAACTTAGGAACTGGAAATGGGATTTGGGAATTTTTGTGACATGTACATAGTCTCCATAGCTGGAGTGATCAGGCATTGCGAGGTGTCTTTGGACTTGGACCCTTTTCACCTTCCATAGTTTACTCCATCGGGTTAACCACTGGAACAGTTTGTGCATGTATTGTTTCAGACACTTGAGGACAGTCTGGGATTGTTGCAGCAGCAGCACACCTGTTGGTGTTATCTGGAGCAATGTTCTTCGTTACCAGGTTTGGGTCCAGAGAGAGCTTAACAGCGAGGCCTGAATGATTATCACCACCCTACCAACAAAGCTTGTGTGAATTTAGCTTGTCTCATGGTTATATGTACAACAATTTTGAATGGAGGATCCTGACCTTGGTGTGCGAAATTAGAAACTGGTGGACGTTAGCTGCTGTCGTAAATACGGGAGATAGTAAAAGACTGGTGCTTGGAGGTGTAGTTGAGCTCAGTAAAATTTAACTGGCAAGTTAAGTTCTCCCAATAATATCTTTTAGGTATTGTGGGAGGTCACTATGCTGGTTTACTTCACGACATCCACCCTAAGAAAACCTTAATTTTAAAATTGCAGTGTGAGGTTTATAATTAAGAAACATCAGTCAATTTCTCTGCTATTGTAAGGAACATATCCATCTGGACATGATATTTGCAAGTGAGTACATCCAGAATGTGTTACTAATGCATGGATTTCTTACCCCAATAGCAGATCCCTTAACTTTAGAATCTATGATTGAGATAATTACCTCAGAAGACCGAGAACATTCTCATATTGCATCCAGGACAGCTAAAAGATGTTAAACCACGTTGCAATTTCCGAGAACACTTTGAGCAATAGTTGTATGATCACCCATTATTTGTCTGAATATCAGCTACCTCAGCTTTGCACATGAACTCCACCGCCTATGAGTTACAAAATAGTAGGTTATCAACATCATAAGTGAAAACACACAGATCAGTCATTAGAGTGTTCCTTAGATAGTGTACATACCTGTGAGAGGAGTTGAGGACATAGCAGTTCAACTCGGAGAGTGCGACAATTTCAAGTTTCTGAAGCACACCATACTTTGAAGAAGTGGAAGATGAGCCTTCCTGAGCTCTACATAACATGCGTTAAGGTGGGTTAATGTAGGAATTTAATAAAACTAAAACTGAAATGCACAACAATTAAAGTCTGGAGATACTTAGTAAAAAATATATTGGCTTTCCTGGTCAAAGTAGAAATAAGTCCCTGAGGTTGCATAGAGGAATAAGCGACATGAAGTAACTCAAGTAAAATACCAAGAAAATCAGAAGAAAAAAATATGTAACGTTGGAGTATACAGAACGTAGCAAAGTGTTTTGAAATAATAGAAGTATTTTAAGTGGTCATACATTATTGCATTGGTTTCAGTATTGAAATTTGAAAGTCACAGAAACCTACCTTCTAGCAAAACATTGTTCCTTTTAATTTCCCCTTAAACGTCTACTGTTTTTTTTCTTTATCACCATTAACGTTTTCAGTCCAATAACAGTGACGACCATGGGAAAAAAATCTGGATCAAACAAATAAATAGTCAAATAACAGAAAAAGCATGATGTTACAAAAACATTTAAAACATCAATTTGGCATGGTCATATAGAAACAGTAGATGGTTAAAGAGCTCAACACGTGGTATAAGTTGGTTATGAGAAACAAACTCGGCAAATCAACGTTGGAGTTGGCCAGAACCCGTAGTTGTTCATACTTCTGAATCTGGTGTGTTCCTTGAATCGTATGCAGACCAGAGCGTCTTACAACTTGAAGTGGTTGTTGTTTCTAGCATCGACGAACACACTAAGCTTGTACACCGCTCCTTCCCTAAATAGATTATTGAGAGTGTAAAGTTTGCCAAAGCTCTGCCATGGTTTCTCTCTCGTCTGTGATTTTCCAGCCGCAGAAGAAAAAAGCTAACCCTAAACGACAGAAACATCTGAGGAGTAAGTGGGACTAAATAAACAAAAGCCTTTCGATTTTATTATCCAGATTAAAGGGGGAATTATAAGATGAAAACCAAATATTCTAACCTTTGACGAAGCTCACTCTTGCTTTCTCTCTCGTCTGTAAGTTCCAAGCCACCGAAGAAGAAACCTAAACCTCAACACTGAAAAATCTCAGGATGAAATGGGCCTGAAATTAAAAAACCCGTTTCCACTCTCAATCTGCGTAAAAATAAACAAAAACAGAAGATTGAGTCCGTCTGAGATACCTTCTCATCTAGAAAAAGCATGTCGAGACTGATCAGTTCCCCACCTTTATTGACATTCCTAGCCTCCGAAAACCTGAGCTCGGAAAAGAAAACCCTAGACATAGCCATTACCACTGAGATTTGGGAGAAAAGTATGAGAACGATGATGAGAATAGGAAGATCAGACCTCTATATATACACATCTCCACCGACTCTAATCTGATAAGGGGGAATTGATGATAGATCGTGGGAGAGTGTTAAAGTCTCTAATCAATCAGTAACGAAATCCCTATTAACACGTGAAAGAGGAAACAAAATCGAAAATAAGAGAGGAGGTGTGTGGAGTGTCAATGGCGGCTCCACTGGTTGAAGAAAAAAAAACCCTTTCGACAGAGAAGACACACACAGAGGCCGTGGGTTAAACAAATTAAGGCCCAAAAAATTATAACGCGAGGCAGACACACAAACAGGCCATGGATTTTTAAAACTGAGGCCCAGGAAAATTAAAACGTGAGGCCCGTTTGCAACCCAGACACGTGGCAGAAAGATGGAGTTGTATTATCTGACATTGCACTCCCAAGAGGGAATCAAGTATCCTTTATAATAATAGATGGATTGGTCGATTGTTTTCTTAATTTTTTTTTTTAAAAAACCACAATACATTAGATGAGATAAGTGGTTCTTTGTTCGATTTCCTTCTTCCAGACTCTTTTTTTTTTTTAGATATCTAAAGTTGCCGGAGATTTGCAAGATCAAACTGGGTTGGTACAGCTTTGATATCTCAACGCCAGGTCCTTCCCGCCCTTCTGTATACACTCGCACTATTTTGATTTGCGATTTGGGGATAAGGGTTTTTGGATGTTTCTGAGATCGCACGGTTTTGACTTGAGATCGTTTAATTGGATTTGGGGATTACGGTATTTAGATTTAATTGAATTTGGGGAGAACACACAGCACAACTGCGCTCATTAGCCGCTCGTCACTGCTTCCCTTCATCACTTAGCTCCGGAGCTTGATCTTGCTCATCCTATCAGTGGCATGTATTGTATTAAGAACTCTATGTTATCCCTATTTCGATCTGAAAGCAAGGATTTTTGTTAAATAACTTAACCTAAAATTTTTTACTTTCTAAATTGATTCTCAACTTTGTTTGCATCTCTTCAATCTTTATATTAGTTGATCAATAAGTAATTTCAGGGACAAGGGCACACTATGAATGCTACAACATCACAAAATCTCTAAGCTTTAGTGTCTAATGATGTTCCAGTGAATGTATACATATGGGACATGGATGAGACTCTTATCTTACTTAGATCTCTGTTGGAATGGGACTTACGGTGAGTCTTTCAATGGCTCTAAAGATGTAAAAAGAGGTGTTGAGATGTGGGAGAAACACATACTTAAGATCTGTGATGATTGCTTCTTCTACGAGTAAGTAAGTTCCTTTGAGTTCACAAAACTTATTCAAACCAGACACTAAAACATTAGTACTTGTGTGGGTTTTTGTTGTAGATTGAGGATTGTAATGAGCCGTTTATTGATTCATTGAGGGAGTATGATGATGGCAAGGATCTTTCTAGGTATGACTTCAAGCTAGACGAGTTTACTTCTCCTAATGATGATTTGAACAAGATGATTGCTTCTTTTACGAGTAAGTAAGTTTCTTTGTGTTTACAAACTTATTCAAACCAGACACTAAAACATTAGTACTTGTGTGGTTTTTTGTTGTAGATTGAGGATTGTAATGAGCCGTTTATTGATTCATTGAGGGAGTATGATGATGGCAAGGATCTTTTAGTTTGGTTTAGTCTATGAACTGTTTAGTTAACGTTTCTTGGTGTTTGTAGTTTATGATGTGACGAGAAAAGAGACATTTACAAAATTAGTAGATGTGTGGAGTAAGGAGATTGAGCTTTATTCCACTAATCAAGATTGCGTTACGATGCTTGTTGGGAGCAAAGTCGATAGAGTAAGTTGCAATATAAATTACAGAACTTAACATGGTTTGTTTATTCGCTGGTTGTGTTTGATGCAATACAATGATAATTACAGGAATCTCAGAGAGGAGTTAGCAGAGAAGAAGGGATTGCGCTAGTGAAAGAGCTCAAGTGTATGTTTCTTGAGTGTAGTGCTAGAACTCAGAAACACGTAGAGCAGTGTTTCGAGGATCTGGCTTTGAAGGTAAAGATCCATGGTTTGTTTATTCTCTGGTTGGCTTTGAATTATCTTAGGTGATAAAATATGTCTATAGCCTATTTAGAAAAGCCCAATACTAATATCGATTTAGATAAGCACACATATAATGAAATATACTATTTCGGTTTAGAAAATCGCAAGTAATAATGTTGTAGGTTTTTAATTTGGGCTTTAATATTTAGGCATAAGCTTATGGTCGGTTCAATATACCAATTGGGCTTTGATTTACATAATGGCAGTTAAACCCAAATAAAGGGAACCAAATTTATAGAGAGCTAAGCACGTCTATAAACATTACCTTAATTTTCTATTACTTCCACAATTTCCTAATATTTATTGCATTGTATTAATGTAATTTAACTTATCGTTTTTAATAACTTACATAATTAACCTTAATGAATCTAATTTTTCTCTTTTATTTATAACTTACCTTTTCTAGATTTCCCGTATTACTTGAGAAAGTTTATAATAGTTAATGCATTCTAATTTGTACCGACCATTTCTAATAATTTACCTTTTTTGCTTATGGATTACTTGCGCAAGTTGGTATTGTGTTTATTGCATTTCTCCTTACAATATAAATTTAATTTCTTTTTTGACAAAACTTCTTTTATTATGTATAATATCCCCTAATAAATGTCTAACGTGGAAGGTAGACTATATATCTACTCTATTAAAATAGAGTCATTCTTTTTATCTACTGTTACAAGTTGTTATTTAAATTTGGACTCTTTCTAGAATGTTACAAATAATATAAGTCATATAATTGATAGTACCGTATTACTTAAATTAAATCAATACAATTAATGTAAAGAGACGACCTTAATGTAAACTACCTTCAAAATATGGCAGGTATCTATGTGTATACCGAAAACACATATTTTCTCCTACAAATATGGAATGTTCTAAAAGAATATATATCATCAAAATATGGAATATGGAAATCTACTAATTATACTTAAATTAAATCAGTGGTTATTTATGGAATAGAGTCTTGGGATTACTTTTTTTTTTGAACAAATTATATAGTTTAGTTTTTGGGTTTAGTATTAAAAAAAACTCTAAAAACCTTGAATAAAATTTTCACCTTAAAAGATCAAAAAATCAATTATTATTTTCAGACCCAAAAGGTACTTAATATTTTTAACAAAACAAAATTATCTATTATTAATCATTTATTTAAATCATGTACTTTAAAACATGTTAATATATTTTTTATTTTAAATAACAATCACTTTGTTTTGATAAATTTCAATGGTAATTTTTAAATAATTTATTGTTTTATTTTTCTTAAATAATTTACTGGTTAAAAAAATGTAAAGCAAAACCAAAAACCAAATCTAAAACTAAAATCCAAAACCAAAAGCTGAAACACATGTTATATTTGTTTTGTTTTGTTTATTTACAAAATAAACTATTTCAATTTTTTTTTAAAAAATTTGATGTCATCTTTTCAGTTTTGAGTTAGATGTTCGATTATTTGAGATTTGTTTGTTGGTAATATTAGTATAAACTAACTCAGCGGGTTTAAAATTTAAAAACCCAAACCAAAAACTGAAAATGAAAAGTAGAAACTTAAAAACTAAAAACCAAAAACCAAAAACCAAAATCTAAAAATAAAAACTGAAACTAAAAACTAATGAAAAATAATCATCACCACAAATTTTGGTGAACTGATTTTATATCAAAATATTCTTTAAACTAAGATAAAACCCAATTATATAAACTTTTAATCATAAAAAAAATCCGCGCTTTCAAGCGCGGGTCAAAATCTAGTAGAGTAATATAACTGAGACCCCAAACACCTACAAAACAACCCTTATTCTGTTTTCCTAACAATACTTCAATATGATAGCTTTAGTTCAGCTCGCCAAAAACATAGTTTCTTATGTCAGAGAGTTGAAACCGTCTAAAGGTACATGGCGTATTGAAGTACGAATTCTTCGCTTGTGGAGAAATTACAACAAAGAATCTGGAAACACCACTGAAATGGTATTTGTTGATAAAGAAGTAACTGATTATATTACTAAATTTTGCAAAACTTGGATTCGTCATATATTATATTTACTTTACTCTTATATGATATTTCTCTAACTCATAACTTCCATATATTCAATCAGGGAACAAGAATTCATGCTTCAGTTGGTGAACAGCTCATCAAAAAATTTGAAGCCGGTCTAACCAGGGACAATGCAATGGTGGTCCAGTTATTCAGAGTGTACGATGTTATTGGTGATTATCGGACAAGCTCACATCCCTAGAAAATTGGGTTCTTCCACACGACTTTTGTTGCAAAAGCTTATGATTTTCCAAGTAAAGTCCCCGAGAAGTATTTAGCTAATTACACTGAAATTCTTGTTGGAAAGGCTGATAACACCCGTTTGGTTGGTAAGTAATTTTCAACTGGGAATTTTTCATGCACTGATAATTTATATGATTTTAAGCTATTAATATGTTAGTTAAATAGTTAACTTCGGTTCTCTTGATTGTTTTTTTTATGGAAGGTAGATGTTATTGGTAAAATAGTTAACTTCCGTTCTCTTGAAAACAAAATGATAAAAGGAAAAGATACCATGAGGCTCTGGATTGAGTTACATGACCAAAAGTAAGCTTAAATACTTTACCTTTTCTTATTTGCTACCTAAATATGTATATTAGATTTATTAACTTCAGTTTATATTTTACAGTAACGCGAAGATGATATTTATTTTGTGGGGTCGTTATGCTAAACAAGTATACGATTATAGTATGAGTAACATGTCCACAATGATTACTTGTATTATCAGGTTCTCTTCTATTAAAGAGTAGAAAGGTATATAATACATTTATGTTTCTAAAATAATTATATGCGCAAATTGCTAATAAAATCTATATATTGTAGGTGTTTACTCCATATCTAGCGGGTGGAATTCAACCCAAATTTTACTGAAACCAACATTGGATTTGACTGACCAGTTCATAGCAAGGTACTCTTCCAGTTAGTACGCTTTTTGTTAGCTAATTTTTTTTTATATACTTTGGCAACATAATACAATGTTTTATAAGCTTGATTTACCTTGATTTTTCAGTCTCCCTAATGATTCACTTGCTCTTACAAAGAACGATAGTACCCAATGGTCTGTTGGTACTGCTACATTTGTCGTGCCAAGTTTTTTGTTCTTAATGAGAAGAAACCATAGGAGAGATCATTAATAGTACTGTGGTATATAAACTAAACCCTTCATTTTAGTGACGTCCCCCATGATTTAATACCTTTTGTTATAATCCTATAAAGATTTGAACATATTTTCATTGGCAAATAGGTTGAGACTTTTGTTACCCTGGGCACTATTGAGAGTATACATGCTGAATGTGGATGGCAGTACCTAAGTTGTAAATACTGCAACAAAAAGGTAATGCCTATAATCAATGCTGATGATGATAATCGTCCTTTGTTCTTCTGCAATACATGTGGTAAATAACACGTTGACGTCATTTCCAGGTAGATTAATTTTATATTATTAATGTTGCCCACTGAATATCAATAGAATAAATAGTGTATTGTTCAAAATATTGAAAAAAATAGTCTTGTGGTTTCAGGTTCAAATTAACTGCTAGTGTTAGAGACGAGTCTGGTGAGGCAAACCTTCATTTGTTTGATGCCAATGCTCAATTGATTGTGCATCATACAGCCTCAGAACTCTACGATGAAGTAATTTCAAAATTAACACTGTCCAGTTATTTAACTACTAAAGTTCTTTTTATTAATCTATATTCAATTTATGGTAGAACGAAGATCCCAAGTTCTTACATGAAGCAATTACCATTTTGGACGAATGTAAAATAAGACATAATTTAATAAAATTATAAGATAATAATATTTTAAACTCTTGGGTAAATATATAGTCCTACTAAAATTATAAACTAATGATATCACATATATAAATTTATGCTTTTAAACCTACACAAATGTTTTTTTCGTTTCTCTTTCTTAAAAATAAATTTTATCTATAATTTTATTTAGAATTTATCCAACTATATATATATAAGTATAATTTATCATACATAAAAACATTACTTATCTATTCATATTAGTAAAAAAAATATCTCCATAAATTTAAAAAATATAGATTATCATAATTTCAATATTATTTCAGTTTTTAATAGTCATCCTCTTGTTGCGTCCACTCGGTTTGGTTCTTAAGGCATGGAACATTTCCTGAGCAAACATAATCTTATCAGATATTTGTCTCCCGGCAACAAAGGCTGGCTGGATTTCTGATATCTTATCTGGTAGAACATTTTTTAATCTCTGGCATAGGATCTTAGAGATTATATGTTAACTAACATTACATAAGCTGATGGGACGTAGCTGGCTCATCTGGTTCAGTTTTTCAACTTTTGGAATGAGACATATGTTGGTATCATTTAAACCTGACGGCAACGCTCCTTCGAACAAGAATTGATTAACCATAAAATTCTGGTAGAAGAGCGCAGTCATTCCATCTGGCCTTGGTGATTTCTCTGGATGCATTCCAAAAAGAGCCAATTTGACCTCCCACTCAGTTACCGGAGCTGTGAGATTCTCATTATCTGCAGGCATAATGGTTATAGATACCTTAGAAAGTGCTTCCTCGACGTCCTCCGGATTTGATGAGTGAAAGATTTGTCTAAAATAACTTGTAGCAATGGCTACAAGTCCTTCCTCATCCTCTACAGCATTCCCATCTTCATCCAGTAATTGAGTAATCATGTTCTTCGCTCTTCTTTGCTTCGTAAGGGCATGGAAGAATTTACTATTTCTATCTCCTTCCCTTAACCAGAATACCCTACACTTCTGTTTCCAAAATATCTCTTCCACCTTAAGAGCGTCAGATAATTCCTTTAAAACTGCCGCAATCTCCTCTCTAGTGGCATCATCATTAGATCATAATTGATCCACCTTTTCCTTCAATTCCTCCACACTTTTTCTCTGAATTCAGATTATGTTGCCTTTTCTAGTCACATAAGGCTCGCCGGCAACTTGCAATATGCTCCATAATACTTGCGTCTGGTGGTAA